CGGTACACAGTTTTGCTGCAAACTTAATGAATTTTCGCTGCAAATGTGCATCAAATCGTAAACCGGGCGCAAATTGCTTTCTAAAAACTTTATGGCAATGCCTTTTTGCATTTATTTATTATTATTGTTTTTTTGTGTTGGTAACGATTTGTATGTTGGGTAAAATTTAAACTTTGTTCCACCATTTTTTTGCACTATCTTTTTGTTTTTTAATTTATTATTAGATTTGTTAACATTTTTATTAAAGTTCTTAAACTTTTTGCAAAAATAATTTATAAGACACTGCGCTGCGCTGCACTGTCTTTTGACAATTAACAACAACGGGAAAGATTTTGTTAGACACGATTTTTGTTCAGTAATTTTGTTTAATAGTTTTTTATTGTTTTATTTTTATATTTTTATATTTTTATATTTTTAAAAAAGTTTTACTTCTATAGATTGTCTTGAAAACAAGTGCAAAAGTAGAATAACTTTTCATTAGCGAAATGCTACATATTTGACTTTTAAAGTTCTTCAAACTACTTTTAGCTCTTCAAAAAGTCTTAACAATTTTAAATAAAATAAAATAGATATTTTCTTACTTTTATTGGGAATATAGAAAACTTTTAGCTACTTACAGACTTAATAATAAAATTTAAAAAACTGTTGTTCAATGCAAATAACCTCGTTTTTCGTAAAAATGGATTCTTAAGGTAAAAAATGGTTTTACTAAATATTTTGTGGAAGTTTCTAATTTTCGTTGGAAATATACTTTGAAACCCAAAAACTAAACTACAGGTATTTGTGACTTATAGCAATATAATTTCTTAGAGGCTAAGTATTTAAATGATACAATTCAAATAATTATTCATATTTATTTATAGTTTAATATAATTCTTTGGCAACCTTTTTCTAACATTTAAAAAGAAAAGGTTTTCTATAGAAATTTTCAAACTGAACAGCACTTTTAATATCTAATTCTGAAATGATTATTGCGAATCATATTCTTATATCTTTTCAACTGCATATTTTATACACTTGTGATGTTTTTCTCTTAAACTATATAATGTACCCGCAAATCGTCGACATAGACTGAAAAGATACTGAGTATATATATATTGAATATATTGAATATTATAGAGACAGTACTTATGGTACTATAACTCGCAGATTTATTTGTAGTTCAATTTTTCTTTTTACGATTTTTTCTTTTAACAATTTTTCTTTATAGAATTCTTTTATTTAAAGAAAAATAGAAACACATCAAAAATTGGGATTTAAAAAATATTAAAAATACAATATATTGTATTTCTGACTTTCCTATAAAATATGAAAAAGTATATGCAACAAATATTCACTGTAAGCCGATGATATGATATTACTTGGGTTGAAAACTAGTGTACTTGAGGTGAAGTTTGAGAAAACTAGAAGCATCTATACAAATGCAAAAACTATGTGCAAAAACTTAGTAAAATAGTTTATGACAGAAATATTATTTTGTGTAATAAATTAATTTATTAAGAGAGAATCCTCTCTTCTCTTGTTTTAAATTCTTTTGTCCACTCTTGTCTTCTCTTCGCTTCTCTTTTCTTGTCTTCTCTTGTCTTGTCTTGTCTTCTCTTCTCTTTACATCTTTTCTCTTCTTTTCTCTTGCCGTCTCTCTTCTTGCGCTGTCTTCTTTTGTCTTCTCTTCTCCTAACTTTTCTTGTCTTTTCTTTTTTTCTCTGCTCTTCTCTTTTACCCAATAATAATAACGGCTTTCTTGGCTAATTAAGAAGACTTCGATACACTTTTCACTTTACTTACCTTTGAGCTAGTAAATTGTTACCCTATGCTATTCTGTTTATTGGAAATAGCCCAGCAGGTAGGTTAAATAATGTAGATGCAACTGTTTTCCACATCAAAACTCTCTCAATACACAGTGGCATTTCAGAATCGATAGGGTATGTTACTACTAAATTAGTTCTATTTAGATTGACTGATGGCTATATTTTGTTTCCAATCTAATTTGTTTCCAATAAGTAATGGGATCTAACAAATATTTTTATTTAGTCTGACTTTCATTGTGAATCTTAATAAGTGTTTACATTTAAGTGCCAATTTAACCTGCATATATTGATGTGAACCGTACGGCATGCTGATTATATTGATAAATATATGTATATGTAAATATAGATTCTTCATAATAATACTAATAAAACTCTGGCATTGCTAAAAAAATTGTCTTTACTAAATCATCAACGAAGTACGATACCATACTAATTTTGCGAAACGAGTCATAAATAGGTTATGTAGTGATCCTAGGAATCTACTTAGGTCGGTTAGCTCATTAAATCACGTTCAAAAATGTCATGGAACCATTTTACTTTACAATAATGAAGAGAATAGACCAATAATTTGGTATATGGGTGAACGTTTTTTCAGCAACTATCTTAGTGTTAATTTACTTAACAAAGATAAAAGCAGTTTCAAATGGTTTTCATACAAAATGTTCAACAATCTTTGGGGTAACCACAAGAAGCTTTTAACGAAAAGTCAAACAATTTTGTAGAAAAAAGTAAAAAAAATA